AAATTGCAGTAGAAATTTAATGTCCCACTGTCACCTGTGTACATAAATTTATTTGAACCATTGTTGTTCTTTTTTAGTCGGAAACAGGCAAACGTCACGCTTATCTTTGAGCAGCCGTGGCGCAGTGGTTAGAGTTCTGGAACTTCTAATTAAAGCTCTCCCGCGGTGCTCCGTAATAAGACTGTAAGGACAAAACAAAAAACAAAAAATCTTTAAAAAAAGGTTCACAAACAAACCCAGGTAATTATCGACTAACCTTTCTAATCTCTACAGTAGACAAACTAAAGTAGAAAATTGTTTGTGATATGATAGCTGATGATTTGTTCCTGCACAATCTCCTTGAACCGCAATAGCACGGATTCTTTAATTTAAAGTTGTGTGTGACCAATTTTCTGGAGGAATTAGATTTATTTATTTAAAACTTTATTTTCAGTTGACTGTTTACAATAGTTTTATAATCAACAAAAACTAATTAAAATCAACACACTAAACTCTATAAGACAATGCAAACAAACATACATATCGTGAATAAAAAATAAATAAAATAGAATAAAAATAGGTTACATAGTAAATAATATAAATGTCAATAAATACAACAAGTTAGTTATTTTCGACGTAAAAAATAAAAAATAAAAAAAGTTATTTTTGACAGATTTCACAAAAACAAGATTTTCCGTTTCATTTTAAAATACTTTTTTTGAACATCTTTAGACAATTTATTGAGTTTCATTGTCTAGAGAGTTCCATAGCGAGGTTGCTAAGTTACTTTTTATGAACTTATGTTTAGGGACTATGGGTGGGAGTACTAATTTTTTACTACATCGAAGACTTAACGGCAGGGATTTTTTGATAAAAAGATCTAAAATAAAATCTGGATTTAAACCATTTATAGATTTAAAAACTTCAGTTAACAAAAACCTTCTAAAATGAAAAAATTAAAAAAATTTCTAAGGTGAATACTTGGGATGTTTTCTATTTTTTGAATTTCTTCTAATGGAAGATCAAATCTTTTATAGTCAATGCAAAGTCCTTTTTCATGAATTTTATTAATTATGTTACTATTATACTTCAAACATAACATCTAAATCAAAGGACAATAGGAAAAATTTGACAGTATAAAAGCATTGAATAAAACAGTAGCTTGTTTTACTGATAAGAAGCTCCTTATTCGTGCAAGAGCGAAGCATTTACCATTCGCTTTTCCACACAGACTTTTAATATGGTCATCAAATTTCAAATCCATATCAATTGTAACCCCGAGAAGTTTAACCTTAGAGGAAACCATGACTTTTACATTTCCAACCATTGAAAATCGATCTTTACAATTTTTTAAGCATGCTAAAAAAAATTGAAATTTGTCCGGATTTGCAACCATTTTATTCAAAGTAAACCATGAAGTCGCGTTTGATGTTTCTATTTGAAGACGAGCAATAACACTCTCTAGGGTTTTGTCACAAAAAGAAAGAGTGTTGTCATCAACATAGTTGCAGATTTCAGAGTCTTTTATAAATAAGAAAAAATCGTTGATAAAAATATTAAAGTAAATTGGTCCCAAAATTGAGCCTTGAGGTACACCAAATTCCATATCTAAATATTCAGAAAATGACAATCCTAGTCTTATTCTCTGTTTGCGAGCAGAAAGGTAACATATTAAGAGTTTGAGACTATCGTAAGAAAACCGATAACCTTCCAACTTAGCTATAAGCAAATCATGTAGAATTAAATCGTATGCCTTTTTTTTTTTTTGTTAAAAAAAGTATTTTAAAATGGAACGGAAAATCTTGTGCTTGTAAAATCTGTCAAAAATAACTTTTTTTATTTTTTATTTTTTACGTCGAAAATAACCAACTTGTTGTATTTATTGACACTTATATTATTTACTATGTAACCTATTTTTATTTTATTTTATTTAAATCCATAAGCATAGAGCCAACTATACCTCTATATGATAAGATATATAACTATAAATATTATTAATGAAGTGGTTAGTCATGGATGAGCTAGATTTTTTGTTCTTCTAGATTTTTGAAAGGCATTTGGTGTCATACTGCTTCAATTTAAGTTCGCTTGTTATGGTAACTGCAATAAAATATTAGGTAAAAGACTTTCTCCGAAATAGGTAGTAGCGTGTAGTTTTGCGCAAACTACTCAGATTAGATTGTTGTGTTGAGGGGCGGGCCTCAGGACACTGTCAATGGACTACTTCTGTTTCTTATTTTCTTTAATGAAATGCTAGAAATTGTTGAAAATTATTTTAAACTGTCCGCCCATAAAATTATTTTAAACTGTCCGCCCATAAAAGTCAACTAGTTGTTAAAGTAAAATATGTGCTTGAATTTATCCTTGTCCAGGCTAAACCTAGTCGTTAAACAAATGGTCTTAACTGTGGCATATGAATTTTTTTTACCATTTAATAATATTTACTATGAGATCAATTACATACAAAAATGACCACAACAAGAAGAAGACTTATAGTCTAATCACCGAGTCCCGTTTATATAGTCGCTGTCAGGTTACATTACAAAAAAGGATACATTATGCAAATATTATAAATTTAAAATATAAAAGATATAGATAACTTTACAAGACATTTGTGTAAAAGGATGACTTCGGTTATTTGACAAAAACTCTCAAAGGTTCGAGAAATTTAAAAGCCAAAACGTTCAACAGAATTTAATATATAAGTATATATTGAATTCTGTTGAACGTTTTGCCTTTCAACCTTCTCGAACCTTTGAGAGTTTTTGTCAAAAAATCGAAATCATAAAACAGTTTATCTATTTAATTTCTTTCAAAAATTCTTTATAATTTTAACAAGGATGAATATATAATTTTATTCATTTATTTTTACGGTGAGCTTGTTTAGAAACAAGTTATAGTTGTCATTTTTTTATCTATCTAAGCTGAATGTTTCCAGGCCCCATGAGTAAACTAGAGTAGAGTAGTTGTTTTTTTGAATAACTACAGAAAACATTTGTTTGTGAAACTTTAGATAAACGTTCTATAGTAATTTTAAAGCATATTTAATATAAAAAAAAAAAAAAAAAATTAGTGATAAAAAAAAAAAAAACCTTGTGCGCATCACATGCCAACGCGTATAATTTATAGTATAAAACCGCTCTATAAGTTGTAGTCAAAAATATTAAGAAATTTAGCGCTAAGAAGATTAAAATTTATTTATTATTTGTTTTATTTTTAGTATAGTATTTTGTTATCAAACAAATTACGAAGAAAAAGTGGAACGTTTTTATAATTGAAATCAGTTTTTTCTAATTTCTATTGCACAAGCTTGGAATTTATCAAAAACTTGTGTAATAAAAACCTGATCCCCATGGATTACATTTTTCATTGGTCAAAGTTACACAAGTTCACCGTTAAAATAAATAATGAAAATTATATATTTATCAAAGATAAACATATTTGATCATAGAGTTATAGCAATACGTTAAGGTTAACTTAATAATAGAGTTGTTGCAACGCCACTATGTCTAAGTTTTATCTCCAGCTCTGTCTTTTTTAATAGTCCAAGTTTTTAGATCAGCTAAATCTATAATTTAATTGAAAAAAAAAACAAAAAAAACCAAAAAGCCTCTGTTATTGGAGTCATCTTTATAAAATATTGTTGTTTGATATTTTATCTGTTTGCTTGTGTACTAAATCTTAAGGTTTTACATAAAATATTGTAATAAGTACATACTACAATAGGATGACTTTTGACAGGTCATACATGTTTATACGTTGTATATATTCTTGTAGAGTGGCTTCTTTTACCAATGTTGTGGCCATTTACCAATGTTGACAGGAAATTTTCGACCCTGTTTTTAATATACATACTTTTTATTATAATTACTTTTAATACACCTAATATATTTTTAACATGATGTAACATGTCGACTTTGACATCTTAACTTAAGTATAACTTCGACCCTACTCAAGAATGTAATTTGATTCAATTTAAGAATAAAATCTTATTATTTTGAGTTAAGAGTTTTTTGCGTGTCACTTAAACTAGCCAAATGCTTTTATAAAATACTTTTATTAGTAACAGAAATTATTTATTATTATTAGTTTATTATTCTTTTATTTCACATTTAATTTATATACTTACATCGTCCAGATGCTACAATTTTTAAAGAATTTAAACAAAAATATCCCATAAAAACACTCATGGAAGGTCTATAAAGATATTTTTAAAAGTTAGAATGAGATGTTAAATAAGCTCTAAAAAGTTTTCTTATATATATTATATATCCCGGAATGTGCACTACTTTTTTTGTAAGAAAAATGCTTGCATTTGGTGCTTGATAAGATAATTCTTTAAAAACAAAAAAACAAAAAAAAAAGTCAATCCTACGCTCAAAATCCTCAGCCTTTATGGTATAGTGGTTACAGTTCACGCCTTAAAACTGGAGGTCCGTAGTTCGAACCCCGCTTTACCATATGTTTATCATTTGTAAGGAAGTAGGCGGGAACATATCGGTTAAATGCTATTCCGTCTGAGATCATATCGTAAGGACTTTTTGGAGCACCTAAATAAACTAAAAAAACATTTATGTTTTCCTTCAATTAAATCAACTTACAATAACAGCATGAGTACAAAAAAGTATTTATTTTACTTTAGTTTAGGATATTAAATATTGCAATATATTTTCTATCAAATTTTTTATTAATTTAATTTAAAAAGTACAATAGTAATAAATAACAATGATAGTAAATAATATTACTTAATATTATTTTAAAGAAATATTTATTGCTGATATACTTGTATTGATACGTTGGTAAAATCATACGCGTGATGATAAATAAAAGAAAGCATAGATATTCTTTTTGCTATTCGAGTTAGTCAAATCGATTGTAAATAATACATACGAAAGAGAACAGATCATGTGACAAACGCGAATTTAACAAAAGAAAAAGTCTCTGAGAGGAAACCAAAATAATAAACAATAAGAAAATATAATTTTCTGTAGTAAGTATTCATGCAATCGAAGCGTGTACTGGCGTCAATGACTTTTTAATAAATTTGACTTTTCATCCTTTTTTGGTTTAAACTGCTGCAGCAGTTTTTTATGTAAAAATTATTCCAGAAACGAAAAACCCAAGAACGCCACGAAGGAAACGAAAAAAATGTATACTTTTTTATAACTTTTACTTATTTGCGCCTAATTCACTCTTAATTAATAAATTGTTTTGCTGCACAAACAAATTGTCTGCATTATTGTATTTTAATTATTGTTTTTTTACTTATTTATTTTACAAGTATATGTGTCGGTGATTATTTTCAGTTTTAAAATGTTTGTCGCACGAATAATGATTTGTATTATTATTTAATATTGCAAACAATTTATTTAATGAAAAATTATGTTTCATGCAGGTCTTACAAGGGTGGAAATAAACACGCGTGCATTGGATGGTGGTGTTCCTAATATTATTCAAAGCGAAATCATTGATAATTTGGAAGGGACTAAAGAGAACTTCTTTAAAGAAGCTCTATTACCAGTAATTACTAAATTTATATATACATATAATATAATACTAAACATATATATATATATATATATATATATATATATATATATTATATATATATATATATATATATATATATATATATATATATATATATATATATATATGTTTAGTATATATATATAAACATATATATATATATATATATATATATATATATATTTTATATATATATATATATATATATATATATATATATATATATATATATATATATATGTTTATATATATATATATATATATGTTTATATATATATATATATATATATATATATATATATATATATATATATATATATATATATATATATATATATATATATATATATATATATATATAATTTATTCATATATAATATAACTTAGTGGTTAAAAATTAAATATTGTTAAAGCTTGTCATTCGGGGTTTTTTATAAAAATAGAACTAAAATTGATAAAAACTTAAAATTGATAAAAACTAAGAAATAAAATTAATAAAAACTTATCTAAATTTTTTTCTTTAAAATAAACAAACAAACAAAAACATGTCATTGAAAGAGCAAATAAAAAGAAAAAATTTTAAATATAGAAAAAAAAATTTCATAATTGAATATTTCAAAAATTATTTAATACTATCATTTAATTTATTATTTAAGTATATGAGAATTGTTATTATTTAGCATATAAATAAATATATTTAAAAAACATTTCCAACAAGAGTTAGTTAAATAAGGAATCAATTTTTAGATCATTTCAGAAAGGTTCCATCAAGATCAAAAGATTCTATTATAATCTTAATAATATTATAGATAATCTGTTTTTAATATTGTGGCAAGAAATTTCTGACTAAAAAAATAATAAGTTCCAAGTCTTTAAATCCTCTGTATTTTTTCCCTTAGTTTCCATAAGTTTATAACTTTCAACAATTTTAAAGGTATTAAAGATATATTAGATATAATGTTAGAGTTATTAAGATATAACTGAAAAATCAGATAATTTAAATTAGAAATGGGTTTACTTTTACAAATTGATACAAGTTTATGTAAGTAGCTGTGAGATATCTAAATTTTTGTTTTAAATATTTCTTGTGGAGAAATGTTTCTTGTAGAGAAATGAAAATAATGGTTATAATAGAATAAAATGTTGCAAAACAAAATTGTTTATAAAATTTTGAATAAAATTATAAAATTCCTTTTCACTGTAGTAATGATATTGATCTAATAATTGTTACTTGAACTAGTATTATGTATGATATAACATTTGCATCATACATAGAAAACCATTTTCATATTTATTAAATGTTCTGTCTCATATTTACCTCAATACAGTGCTCTTTTTGCCGATGCAAATATGGTATAATGGTTGAGGAAGGTAAAAGAAAAATATTTAATGGGTATCCATAGTAGCATTGTTGACTTTGAAAAAAGTAAATATGTCTCTATAAAAAAGATAGGTAAATACTGTCACATTATTTACTGCTAAGGTCTTAGGAATGATATGCTGTAATACAATACAGGCAAATAAATTTTTTTTATCTTTTAAGGGGTTTAAAACCTTTAACCCTATAGAAAAGATACCAGTTTTCATGATATCAATTTGACAGGTTTCTGTTGAAAACCATTACAATGTAATAAAATTACATTGGTTAATTGACATTATGAAATTCATCATATGAAAATTTGACATTCCAAAATTCGTCATTATGTGCCTGAAACCTCATATGCCTTCATTAAATATGGGTTTGAAAAAATCAAAAAAGATTAAGTGACTGTCAAATATTAGATGTACGACAACTGATAAATGTGTGAAAATAAGAAAAATTATTAACTTTTATAACCTATAAGGTTTAACGTTTTGTACAATCTGCCTATATAGAGGTTATACTTTCTCTAATATTTTGTACAAACTGCTTATATTGAAGTTGTACATTCTCTAATGTTTTGAGCTTATTTATTTGCTCTTTCAATCCAATTTATTTGCTTTTTGAAGATAAAATTAAGCATTATTTTAGAATGAATGTGATCAAGATGGAATAGAATTAATTCACTTTTTATTTGAATTTAAAGATGGCAACCACTTTATTTCATCATGGAATGGTTTAAAAATCAGTAGCATTTTATTTGTTGAAATTTCAAAAGGCGAACTATTATCTGGAAATAAAGAGAGGTAATTTGTTACATTATTTTTTTACATTATTAATGCTATCAGGCTTGGTTGGGAAGCGGGAGCGGGATTTTTTAGTCGTTTTGAGAACATTTCAAAAAGCAAAAAAAAATATTGAAAAAGATTAATTGGACCAATGAGAAACAATTACAAAAAAAAAATTAGGAAAATAAAATATCTTTTAATGCGAAAAAATTTAAAGCAAAATAAATTTCATTTACAACAAATATTTTAGAAACATTGCTCTTTTATAATTTTTTTATAAAATTAAGCGACATTTTTTATATTAAGTAACATCTTACGATTGTTTAAAAAGGAAACAAATGTTCTTTATTTAACAAAGAATGTAATATAATTTTTATTTATATACTCGTGTCTTATTTCTAATGCTAGATTAAGGAGGGTTGGGGTTAGAAGGGGCTATAGCCCCGGGCCCCGCAATGTTAGGCCCCCAAAAATGTTAAGAAGACTTTTTTGTTTTTTCTTTTTTTGCTGTGGCACATACAAAGGCATCATAAAAATAGCCCCCGGCTATTTTTTCTAACAAGATTCTAATAAAACTAATGCAAGTTTTAGTTTTATCTAAGCTAAATTATTTTATAAATTAAAAAGATAATTTTTTTAATACTTATTTTATGCTTTGCGTAGTTTAAAAAGTTTAACATGTTTGAAACAATTCTTCTTAGTAAGATGAACAAATGAAATAATTAAATCATTGAATTACTATAGAAATTAAATTAACTAGATAAAAATCAACTAAAAAGGTTAAAAATACTTTATGACAAGGAAGCGAAACTGCTTACAATATCGCTGATGATATTTAGTGAGTGGGCTTTTTAATTTTAATTAGTATTTAAAGCAGAAAAAGTATCAGGGCGCAACAAATCGTTTTTTTTTTTTCACTGACGTTGGCGTTCGTATCTTAAATTATTGACGAACATCTAATTTAAGTGATATGTGTCAAATAAGGGAGTTTTATATTTAAATAAATTTTTATTCTAGTTAATAATCTTTTGGATATATGAAAGATGGTTATTAAATTTAATCAATTATCATATTTTCGAAACAATTTTTCACGCATTTGCAAAGTGCGCGCAAATTATTGATTTTTAACATGCAATGATTGTAAACTGTTATCCAACGATACAAATCTTTTTTTGTTTCTAATTTAGTTTGTTATATTTATTTACTCATAAAATATACCTATAAACGTGAAGAAATAAAAATAAAAGGAACTAAAGAAATAAATTGCAATATGACGTCTCATTAACATTTATATATTAATTTTTATATTTTTATAAATGGATTTAAAAATCGCTAGTACTTTTTAATTTATGGTCTTCCAAATGTCTAATACCAACCGCTGCGTCAATCCAATCTTTGACATGTTTTTGGGGCAAAACGTCTTCAATTAACTGTCCATCAAGCTTTTTACGCAAAATACCTTTCGCAAAATATTTTTTTGTAAGTTCATACAAGAAAAACTGCGTTCACATGTTGCCGTTGAAGCGCTGAAATTTTAGCATAATCTCTAACAAGACATTTAAAGGGACTACCAAGACATGTTGTGTTCATATTAAAGAGAATGTTAAAAACAAAACGTCTGAGCAAATTGTTTTTGATTAAAACTAATTATTAAATGTATACCAAGAAAAACAAATCTTGTTGTTTTAGTCGAAGCTCGTCTTCTCCATTTTCTGCGGTATTTGGAGTCTGTAAAATAAGCGCAATTTTCCAGGCGCATTATACAGACTTCATAATTTATTCATGCGCGTTTAATTCTTGATAATTTATTCAAGTGAGTTTAATTCATAAAAGTTTTAGTACATGACGTCATAGATTTTTTTATTTGTTTGTTTAAAACACCGATTTTTATTTTTTAAATGCAATTACCAAATCATATTCATTTTTATTATATTTTAAAGTTCTGAAATGTGTTTGTAAAAAAATTAAAAACAAATAGTATTTTATTTGCGCAAATTTTTTTAAATAATCATCTAGACCACATGTATTTTGATTTCTTTTGTTAAAAGTTTTTCTTTCAAAATATTAGATAAAATAATTTTTAACCTAAATAATAATGCACTTTTATTAATTTACTTTGTAAATATTTAAAAAAATTATTATCGCATTTTTTCTCTGATTTTTTAAAAATGTAATTTTTGGTATTGAGGTGATCATATCATTATTTATATTTCCATTATTATAACATCCAATATATATTATGGCGGGGGCTTAAAAATTAAAAAATTAATATTTATTAATTTTTATTTTATGGACATACATGGAAACATAAATAACTTGAATGTGCTTAAAACATCTTGTGGAAGAATAAAAAGAATATTCGCGAACACTAAAAACCTGCCAAATTTACAAACAAACTTATTCTATTGGTTCAAAAAATATGCTGATTAAGCGAAATAAAGTTCTAGAGTATTCTGTTGAAATGTTTTGGTAATTGTATTATTTACGATTTGTTGCGTTTTGAGATATCTAGCATAAATTTTTTTAAGAATATATTATTAAATGAACTATTACTTTAATATTATGGCTCATACTCGGAGCCACATCTGCAAAGCCATAAATCTTTTAAACTATTATCATTTGTTTACAAAAATAAATGTTTTATAATATATATTTTTTAAATTGTCAAAATTTTGAAAGTTAATAAGTTTTTATTACATTAATCAAAATAATCATTTGGTTGTTGTCTTACTAACTCATCAATTCTCTTTAAATTATGCTTTTTTAATGCTGTTAAATCAATACCTTAGTAGATTAACTTATCTTCTTTTACTTCTAAATTATCTAGTAAACGTCCAATATCTGAGCCTGGATTAACTTATAACGCGTCTAGTTCAGCAATTCTTACATCAACTTTACGCAAAATCTCACAAATTAAAAAAAAGAACAGCAGGCTATCAAAAAAAGCAATCGTTAAGTTTAAGCATGGTTTTTTCTAAAGCAATTGCATATGCACTCATTTTAAGTAAAATTTTGAATTCTTTTTTAAATGTATGCAAAAACCATGTTCAAACATAATTTAAACATAAGCTTTAGCGTGGTTTCTTTTAATGTCTTTGAAAATGCGTTAAAATTTTTTGTCGATTTTTCGCGCCCCGAGTTTAATGAGTTTTTTAGAATGGCAACTGAAGCAAAAATAATTAGAGTTAGTAAACCAATATCTAGAAAATTTTCTTTATATCTAATAACTTGCTATATATATTTGTGTTCTGTTGTGACCTAAGGCGCAGTGCTTGTTCATCCGCGAGTTACTTTGTATAGATTGTTTGTGTTTAGTAACCAGAAACTTCTTTTATGTTTGTTACATAATTAGTTTTATTAACTTTTGATGATTATTAATAATTTCATTGAAAACGCAACTTTTTTTGTAAGTCTTTGATTTTTCTTTTTTTTTTGTTCACCTCCTCAAGGCTGAGAAGGCTACTACAGACGAGGAGGTTACTTATTTGTGGTTATAACACTTTCTCAACTCTATAACTCCGAAACACAAACCTTGATGAACAAGGTCGCTGCGCAGAGAAATGAGTTAAGCGCGGTACTACCAGGGATGTGGTGGGGATAGAACTCGGAACCTCTCGCTTATGAAGCGAGCGCTCTACTATTACACCACTACCGCATTCGCATTGTTTACAAATTAAATCATAAAAATTGCTTTAAAAAATTAGATTACAATAAAAAACAGATACACAAAATTACATTTACATAAAAAGTTCTTTTTAAATAAAAAATAAAAATATACTAATAAAATCTATAATTTATAATAAACTTTCAAAATTTTGACAATTTAAAAAATATATATTATAAAACATTTATTTTTGTCACAAATAATAATAGTTTAAATTATCAATACTATGGCTCTGAGAATAAGCCATAGTATTGATAATATGTTTTTAAAACAATATATGCTAAAAATCTCAAAATGTAACAAATCATAAATAATACAATTTCTAAAACATTTTAAAAGAATACTCTAAAATTTTATTTCGCTTAGTCAGCATATTTTTTGAACTAATAAAATTAGTTTGTTCGTAAATTTGGTGAGTTTTTAGTGTTCGCAATTATTCTTTTTATTCTTCCGCACCAAGATGTTTTAAGAACATTCAAGTTTATTATGTTTCCATGTATGTCCATAAAACAAAAATTTTTTGTTACATACTTAAACTGAAATGTTCTCAAAACAACTAAAAAACCTGGGAACTAAATATAATTTCTGTGGTCAGTATTCGAGAGCGATCGCTCCCGCTTCCCAACCAAGTCTGTGCTATATAAGTTTTCAAAATCATTCGAAACAGTTCATAACATTGCTTGTATCTTAAGGTTATATATTAATTTTTTCTAGATGTGTGTTTATTACGGAGTTGTTAGTCCTTGGCCTTGGCCCTAGGCCTTGCCTTAAGGCTAAAAATTGAGGCATTAACCTTGGTCTTGGCCTTGAAACTGTTGGCCTTGGTCTTGGCCTTAAAAATTTTGGCCATAGCCTTGATTGTTTTGGCCTTGGCTTTAAAAAAACATGCATGTTTTCTTATTGATTTCGTTGAATTCTGCGTATAACCTTGGTCTATTTTTACAAAAGGTAATTTTATTGTCACAGCACTTGCTACTTACAGTTTTGTTAATAATTAGCTTTAACTTAAGGCAAAAATTAAAGTCTTTAGTCTTAAAAATGTGTGCATAGGCAGTGGCATGCTAGTCCTAGAGGCTATGCGAGAATCCCGCTTAGGCCTACCGCTATTTATCCTAGAGGGCTTTTTTTTTTGAATTTTTATACCCTTTACTGGATTCTAAAAATGATTCACAAATGATATTTATTTGCTTTATTTTTTATTCCACAAGTTAAGTTCTTTAACAAATCTCTGATTTAAACCGTTGGACTTCAAGCGCATATATATATTAGTATTTTGCATAATAAAATGCAACCATTTGTAACTTTTGCCTCAAAAAGATAGCAAGTCGATAATGGAAAAAATAATTGATTGTTATCGTTATCGTTATTGTAGTCGTTATATAGATAAAATTATTTAAGCCAATGATTTATATGAGAAATAATTGTGTTTGATTTTAAATTATGTAAAAATATTCATATTGATAAAATTTTTATTAAAACAATAAATAAAAATTGTAATTTTTTAAAATATAAATAATTGTGCGAGTTTTTATAAAATTGCTCTTTCTTGTATTTTCTACAGATATTTAAAAAGTAGTTAAATATTTTATCTATATATGCGAATAAATAAAGCATTTTATTTCTATTTGAAAGTATTCTGGATTCATTTATTTCAGGGACCGCAAATACGTTGAAACTAATATTTATCATAATAAACTTTAGTAATCGCTTTTTTTTTCAAAGAACATAGTTGTAAAATCTGTGTTTGTTGTAATTATACCTTTTTTTTATTTAAGATTTGATATAGAATGGAAAATCTTTAAAATTACATATATTCAATTTCAACTTCAAGTCGATAATACTGTAAGGACTTCTTAGGGCATGTGAAAAAAAATTTGTTATACCGTTGTTTTTGTAACGCTAATAAACATTTCCTCTTGTACTAACGCTTGTACTTTATAAATAATTTTTCATCACTTCTCTTCAGCTCAGGGTGTTCCATATAGCACACTTTTTTTTTTGTGAGCGAAGATTTACAATTAATTATAATCAAAACAGCGCACTGCGAAGCAATTTCTTAACTAACAGAATTGTGAACTGTTGGAACTCGCCATCTTACAATACAGTAAACGCAGAAACAGTCAACGCATTCAAGAATCGGCTGGACAACCTCCAACAAAGTTGCTACAGTGGCTTTCCACGGATGGGTTACTTCGTGCGAGCTGATAAGTTAGCATTGCAACTTATAAATAACTAATCTTTAAATTAGCATTTATTAAAATAATTATATATATCTATATATTTTAATAATACGATATATTTAAATAATGGTACAGTTATTTCAGGGTTCCCACATCTCCTTAAAAACCTTAAATATCCTTAAAAAATAAAAACCTCCTTATATGTCCTTAAATAACCTTAAAAAAAGTTAAAATTTGTCTGCTCTCCTTAATTTCTCCTTATTATTTTTTTTTTTTTATTTATCTAGAAATTTTTTTAAAGTGAATGGATTATACTTGTTAATAAAAAAGATAATATATAGATTTTTGATAGTTTTCAAACCTATTTTTGTTATTATATATATATATATATATATATATATATATATATATATATATATATATATATATATATATATATATATATATATATATATATATATATATATATATATATATATATATATATATATATATATATATATATATATATATATATATATGTAAAGAAATAATAATTTTTCTGTTTATATTTAAAATTTATTAAAAAAAAAATAAGATTATGTTTTTAATGTAATCGTTTTCTCCTTAATTATCCTTACTTTTTCTTTTGAAAAAATGTCGTTTGTGACCAAATCTCCTTAAATATTAGGAAAATATCTCCTTAAATCTCCTTAAAATCCTTAATTTTAGCCTTTGTTAGGAATAGTGGGAACCCTGTATTTAGACGTATTACTAAAAAGCGGGTTTAAGCTTTATATAGTCATAATTTTTGAATATTATACAATGAAATTGTATAAAAAATATTATACAATGAAATTGAAAATTTGTACACATAAAAAGACATACAAACATATAGCTTTGTCCAACCTCTATATATAACTTTTATATATATTATTTATACTATTATATGTAGCTTTGTCCAACTTCTTGACTATTCAGAAGAGGTGATAGGAGCTTCAACTCTCATTCTTTGTATTCATAAAGATAGAAAGGACAGAGGTATATTTTTTTTCCAATTTCACTTCCCATATTTTTGAAAGTATTTGTTTTTTTCAAAAGTACATTTTTTATCTCTTTTCAAATATCAAAAGTTTTTATGTTTAGAGGACGTGTTGCGTACTTTCATGTTCCTCGGATTCCAGCTAGTCCATCACAGCAATATACCGATTTCGATTAAGGAGAATTTTTTGTACATGATGTATTCTTTTGACGATTAAAAACAGATTTTTGTTTCTTTTTGAATAATAAATATCGTTTCCATCTTGGTTGTTAAAATCGATTTTATATTGTTTATGCGATTGTTGTTTTTTGTTATTATTATTTTTAATTAATTATTAATTCATTTGTTTGTAAATTTTTTTTTTTATTTAATTTTTTATATTTGTTTATTTTACCTTTAATATCTTCAATATTTTTATTTTTGAAAATTATTTTTTTTAAAAAAAGAGTCAATTTTTTTCTTTTTTTTTGGCATTTATATATTTAGAGTTATATAAAAAATGGTCAATCTATAAAACTTTCACCAATCACTTTTTAAAATAAAACATTTCAAATCCAAAAAATATTACCTTTCTTTTCACCGTTGATGTCTAATTTGACATCTCTTTAGGCTAAATTTTCAATATTGAGTAGCATCGACACTTACTAGTTAACATGATTCGCTACAGGAGAACCTCTTTACCAAACCCTAATTTCAATGTAATGCGTTCGCAAACTAGTTAAAATTTTTTATCGAAAACAAACTTGTTTTAAACCTTTTAAAAGCGTTTTTTATTCTAAACAAATTTTTTCTGAACAGCTAAGTTATAAAATGAAGGTTGAATATTAATAGAGAGAATCATTTCTCACATTTTTTTAAGAAAAAAATAACATAGTTTTTCTAATGCTTAAATATGATTCTTCATTATCGAAAACTAGGATGGAAATGGAATTTTTATATCGTATGCTTTCATTTCCTAGTTTTCTTCTTTGACATTATGTCCTATAATAGTAAGTAAATTTTAATGCTGATTTCATGTGTAAATATATCGTCGCATGAGAATTATAGGTTCAATCTGCGTTGTTTTATGTTGAAAGAATTTAACAATCAAAGTTTTAATTAATAATAAAACAAACCACTTAAAAAATGATATATTATATATCATTTTTAAAGTGTATATATTTTATATCATTTTTTAACTTATAATTTATAATTATAATGAATAACAGCTGTAAAACATGTATTAAATAAATATTGAAAGTTAAGTTCTCACAACATAAAAAAAGGCAGATAGAACCATATAATTCTAATGTGACGATATCTCTAAAATGAAAATAAATGACGCTAAAACACGACACTTTTTATTCTAAAGTTGATTGTTGTAATTCACCTTGCTACTCATACGTTGTTTAACAGCATTCCTTACAAAATTTCAAACACCGTATTTCCTTCATGTACTCTTTTATGCGTAATACATGGGAAAATACGTATATTAATTTTCAAAATTTTTTCCCACCCACCCACCTGTTCACAACCACTTGTTAAGACTAACCTATCTCGGTACTCCCTACCTTCTCTAAGCCTCTCGAATGAGTATTCTATAACAAATTCCAAAAACATTAAATTGAACACGCAATCCTTGATTTGTTTAATGTATAATAATTTAATAAATATAAATGTTTGATAGTATAAGTGATTCTTTTGTTAAAAAACAAGATGTTCTAGGCATCTTTATAGACCTGTCAAATTATAATATTTTACTTAAAAAGATGGAAAACTATGGGATAAATAACATCACCCTTAACTGATTCAAAAACTACAAAAGCAAAAGGTGTTATTTCAGACAATTACAAACACTCAAAACTACTAAGGATGGTGTGTGATACCCCCTAAGGTTCCATTGTTGGACCCCTTCTGTTTCTTCTAAATAACATAAGAAAGGTAATTACGCTAATCTAAACGAGAAACTCTCCCAAGTTGATTGAGTTGGTCTGTTTAAAGATCGTTATACCGACGAATGCTATCAAATCTTCTGCTACAACTATGTCAAATGCTGTGACGAATTCATCTCGCGTTCACCTCTAACCCAATCAAACACAGTCAGCTTTGGCTTACCAGCAAACCTCTCTTACTAAACAAACTCAAGAAAAAACTTTAGTACCTCAACAGCAAATGGCGAATCGTCCCTCTTGTCATAGTGTATAACCTAACTCGAAATCTTGTCGAAAAAGCTTCTTGCATTGCAATTAGAGCTTTTGAACACAACTTTAAAAATGATAAACAGAACCCTAAGCGTCTATACGCCTATGTTAACAATAAACGCGCCGTCAGTAACCACATACTTCTATGTGCTTACCTTCTGGGGAAATAATTAGCGACCGGGCATCCATAGCCAATATACTTAACAGCCAGTTCCAGTCAGTATTTACAATTGAACCATTAAATCAACCTGTACCTCCGGAGGTAGACAAAGGGAGCTCCCTTCGTCAAACGTACAACCGCTTTAATCTCTTCTGTCATCTTCAACTGCGATTCTTTTTACAAACACCTATCTTCTCTCAAAGCCAATAAATCAACTGGATATGATCATATCAGCTCATTTATACTTAAAACATGTACCAATGCGGCGACCACCCTACTAGCCATTATTTTTCAGAAATCGATATATCAAGGTGTAATCCCAAAAGTGTGGTTTTCAGCAAACATTACATCACTGTTTAAAAAAGGCTGCAGACTCAACCTAGAAAACTACAGGCCTATCTCCATCACCTCTGTACCATGCAAAATAATGGCAAAAATGTTTAAAGAAAAGATCATGCAGCACCTTGTAGCCCATAAACGTTTTGCCAATTACAAACACGGCTTCGTCAATAAAAAAGTCAGCGTTACAAATCTGCTTGAGGCCATGGACTTTCTGACCTACAGCGTTTCTCGCAAACTTCCTGTAGGAGTGCTTTTTCTTGACTTCGCCAAAGCCTTCGATAAAGTCTCCCACAGGAGATTACTGTAAAAAATTGAATGCTAAGGAATTGAAAGTAACATTCTGAACTTGGTAAATGCTTTCCTTTTAAATCGATCATAGTGCGTACTTCTAGGTAATACATTATTCACCTGGGTAAAAGTTACCAGCGGTGTTCCGCAAGGTTCAGAGCTAGGTACTACGCTGTTTATAATATTCATTAACAACTTACCGGAATAAATAAGTAGCGAAAACTTATGACTTATATTATAAACTTTTTGTGCAGGTCAATCATTCAAAGAAGTGCTATATACGGAAGAGGTAATATAAAAACTGAAGAGCATACAGCTGACGACATAGATAACAAATCTCGCTCTTGTTCTGGAGCCAAAAATCTTGTTCTGGACAGAGACAAAGGCTGCATGCAAAAAGAGATAGAAATATTGTCTGAAATTACTGATAATATTGATGTAAGAGTAAACTATAGCATTTTAGAATATTGGTAAAAGTTAATTAGTTCTGAGTTAATCAATTTTTGCCTGAACCGGCCATCTTTGTTTTTGTAAAATAAAATAGAAATTGATTCATTTCCAAATTCTGATCAAAATTATAAAGATCAAAGCTGATTTTTTTGTAACTGTTTTTTTTTTTTTAATTTATGAAAATCGGTCAAACAGTTGTAAAATCCTGACTTTGTTATTCTTTATGTCAATGTGCCCATGTTTCCAATGCAAATTATTTCCTCATTTAAGAAACATTGCTGCGTTGGCATATGACGGTTGTAAAGATTGAAAAACTATTAGAAAAATTTCTGTATCCCATGAAGGATCTCAAGACCATAAAAAAGCCATGATGGTCTACCTCACATAAAAATCGAATAAGAGCACAATAGATATAGAGTTAAAAGAACAAGCTACTAAAATTGTAAAGTATTAGTTTAATATTTTAGAACGGTTTTATGACAAAAAGTGGGGCTCTCCACACAATGAAAATTCCATGAGCTTCATGGAACTGATTTCAGAATTTGAACCTTTCTTAAAAGAACATCTGACAAAGTGTCAAACTAGGGCGATGAAGTATACTACTTACTTATCCAAAATTGTATACAAAGAGATAGTGCAGCTAGTGGCAAAAAATGTTTTAAAACGAATTATTGAGCAGGTAAACAATGTTGATACAAAATATTATAACCTTATTGTAGATTCTACAGTAAGGGTATAATACTTTGCATTGACATCAATTATCTGCTCAATAATTTGTTTCAAAACATACTCTTTTAAAACATTATTTGTGATTTTCGATCAGTAGAAAGATTACAAATTGTTCAATTATTTTTCCGTTATACTAGTATTTTAATATTATTGCCAGCTGATCTGTATGAGCAATGTCAGCTGATCTGTATGAGTCATACAGATCATGATCTGTATGACTCAGCTGATATCAGCTGGCAATAATATTAAGATACATTATTAACGGAGAAATATTTGAACGATTTGCAACCTTTCTACAAATCAAAAATCACACCATTATTTACAAAATTGTTTCAGTTTTTAAATAAAGCAGCTCTTGCTATTTAAAATATCCGTGGGCAATCATACAACATACAATAACACATCAAATGTATGTGGAAAATATAAAGGCTTACAAGCAAGAATAAAAAGAATAATTTTTTTTTTTTTTTTTTTTTTTTTTTTTTTGTTCTTTTCTTGAATATTCAATATAGTTATACAATAAGATAGTTGAAATAAAAATCGTTATACAATAAAAGAAAATATATACAAAAAAGAAAGAACGCGGAGACTCGTAGAAGACCTTCAGGTCTTATCATCGAAAACCGCTCGTGAATATTAAGTACATTAAATTAACATGAAGTATAAAATCTAAACAATGTCGTATTAAAAATTAGCGAGAACGTAAATTTCGTAATAATATATAAATAAAATTGGAATAAAGAAATTGTTGATACTCTTATATATAAATACAAAAATATTTTAAAAAGTACTGTTTTCACAAACACATAAGTTATGGATCAGATTTAATATATATATATATATTACCTTATGTAATAAACTTCATATTCATTTTTAAAAGAATTTAAAAATATAAAAAAATGTCTTCAAAAGACAAAACAATTTCTTTTAGTTTTTTCTTGAATGAAAGATAATTCCATTCATGGGAAAAATCAAAATTTTTTAAAACTATTTTGTTCCATAGAAAAGCTCCTCGATATGAAATACATGACTTTCCAAAATTAGTTAAAGATAAAGGTTGCTGAATTTGATTATCATTTCTTAAGTTATATTTATTTTTATCTTTTAAGGTATATAGATTATGAAAA